AAAAAAAAAAAAAAAGAAAAGAAAAAGATTAGAAGATTAGAACATGTGGAAAAACACAGATTGGGCATGGTGGTTTAGGCCCGTAATCCCAGTACTACTTTGGGAGGCTTTGGAAGGCGAATCACCTGAGCTCAGGAGTTTGAGCCCAGCTTGGGCAACATGGTGAAGCCCTGTCTCTATCAAAAACAAACAAATAAAAAGCTGGCTGGGAATGAGATCATGCCACTACACACCAGCCTGGGTGACAGGGTAAGATCCTATCTCAAAAAAAAAAAAAAAGGTGAAAGGGGTAATTAAATATATATTTTCTCTCTCTTTTTTTTTTTTTTTTGAGATGGAGTGTCGCTCTTGTTGTCCAGGCTGGAGTGCAATGGCACAATCTTGGCTCACCACAATCTCCATCTTCCAGATTCAAGCGATTCTCCTGCCTTGGCCTCCTGAGTAGCTGGGATTACAGGCATGCACCACCATTCCTGGCTAATATTTTGTATTTTTAGTAGAGACAGGGTTTCTTCATGTTAGTTAGGCTGGTCTCAAACTCCTGACCTCAGGTGATCTGCCCACCTCGCCCACCCAAAGTGCTGGGATTACAGGCGTGAGCCACCGCATCCTAAATATCCATTTTCAAATCTGCCCGCATGGAAATTATATTCCAGTGGTGCAGTGATGAAGGATACTTGGCATATTAGTGGTAAGTGCTTAAGAAACAAAAGGAATGAAGGGGCACAAAGTGGGAGGAGTTGAAGTTGTAGGCTGAGTGGTCAGGCAAGGCCTCGCTAAATGAAGACCTGAAGGTGGTGAGGGGGTGAGCCTGTGGGCAGCTGGTGGACAAACATTACAGGCCGAGTAAACAGCAAGGATAAAGGACTCGGGCTGGAGCCAGCCTGGTGTGACGAAATACTTCATTTGCTCACAGAGTTTCTGCACACTAAAGAGGACAGTGTGGCAGGGACTGTGTGAGCAAACGGAAATAGATCAGGGAGTAAATAGGCACCAGATCAATATATTTACAAATACTTCTAGATGCAAGGGCTATCTCTAAAGGAATGTACAGGAAGCATTGGCATGGGTGGCAGCCCCTGGGCAGAACTGGGTGGCTGGACACAGGGAGTTTAGCACCTTGACTTTACTGGCTGTCCTATTTCACTTGAAATTTGTGTTGGCCGGGTGCAGTGCCTCATGCCTGTAATCCCAGCACTCTGGGAGGCTGAGGTGGGCAGATCATCTAAGGTCAGAAGTTGGGAGACCAACCTGGCCAACATGACGAAATCTTGTCTCAACTAAAAGTACAAAAATTAGCCAGGTGTGGTGGCGGGCGCCTGCAATCCCAGCCACTCAGGAGGCTGAGGCAGGAGAATTGCTTGAACCTGGGAGGTGGAGGCTGCAGAGAGCTGAGATCATGCCACTGCACTCCAGCCTGGGGAAAAAAAACAAACAGGTATCTGGAGGCTGGAGAGTAGTTTGAACCCAGGAGGCGGAGGTTGCAGAGAGCTGAGATGACGCCACTGCACTCCAGCCTGGGCAACAGAGCAAGACTCCATCTCAAAAAATAAAAAATAAATAGGTATCTCCAAGAGATACATATAGTTACTTATTTCTGAATAAAATATAATCTCCAGGATTAGCTTTAAAATGATGTACGGTGGTGGAGGGGGGAGTGAGCATTAGAGATAAAACAGATTGGTCATTTGTTGACAATTGTACACACAGCCTGCTAATTTTGTATTCTCTTTTTAGTAGAGAGGGGGTTTTTCCATGTGGTCAGGCTGGTCTTGAACTCACAACCTCAAGTGATCCGCCCACCTCTGCCTCCCAAAGTGCTGGGACAGGTGTAAACCATCGTGCCTGGCCAGGAGCTCTTTACTGCACAGGCAGTGGTTCATGCCTGTAATCCAAGCTCTTTGGGAGGCCGAGGCTGGTGGATCACCTGAGGTCAGGAGTTCGAGACCAGCCAGGCCAACATGGAAAATCCCTGTCTCTATTAAAAAGAAAATACAATATTCAACATGGTGAAACCCTGTCTCTACTAAAAATGCAAAAAATAGCCGGGTGTGGTGGCATGCCCCTATAATTGCAGCTACTTGAGAGACTGAGGTGGAAGAATTGCTTGAACCTGGGGGGCGGAGGCTGCAGTGAACTAAGATCACACCACTGCACTCCAGCCTGGACTGATTTTTTTAAAAAAATTAAATTAAAAAAAAAAAAAAAAAAAAAAAAAAAAGTTAGCCGGGCGCGGTGGCTCACGCCTGTAATCCCAGCACTTTGGGAGGCTGAGGCGGGTGGATCACGAGGTCAAGAGATCGAGACCATCCTGGTCAACATGGTGAAACCCCGTCTCTACTAAAAATACAAAACATTAGCTGGGCATGGTGGCGCGTGCCTGTAATCCCAGCGACCCAGGAGGCTGAGGCAGGAGAATTGCCTGAACCCAGGAGGCGGAGGTTGCGGTGAGCCGAGATCATGCCATTGCACTCCAGCCTGGGTAACAAGAGCGAAACTCCGTCAAAAAAAAAAAAAAAAAAGTTAAAGTTCAAAAACAAAACAGAAAAAATATTCACTGGATCCCCTTCTTGGTCAGAGCACTGATTCCAGCCAGCTTCTTGTGCAACTGCCCAGCTCATTCACATGTACAGTCTCATTTTTCCAACGAGTTTTTATTAGCAGTTAAGTCATGATTTAGGATCCCGGGGTGGGGATCACTGGGTACTAGGTCTCCCTTTACCACCCTGGGAGAAGGACAGAGGATGCAGGAGAGGGTGGTACAGCCAGTTCAGATCTTCCCGGGAAAAGTGCCATCAGCCCGCTGCTCATCCCAGTCTGTGACCTGTGGAAAGACAGTGTTACTCCCTCTGACGTGGGGAAAATGAATGGGTGGGCTTCTTATCTTCCTCACTTTGCCCACCTATTTGTTCAACCAATATCCATGGGTACCTGCTGTGTGCCAACCTCTATTCCAGGGGCCCGGGAATCAGCAGTGACCCCGAAAGACAGAAATCACTGTTCTGAATGAGCTGACATGCTGGGAGGAGAGCAAAGGGCAGGAAAACCCCAGGCCCACTGCAGAGCTGTCACTGGGGAGATCTGTCACCGTACAGAACCCCAATGGCGGGCCCTGCTTCCAGAACCTCGGGTCAACACTGTGCTGTCTGTCCAAATAGGGGAGATGGAATAGTAGCCAGCTGTGAAAAAAAAGAAGGCTGACTGATGTTCTGGCATTGTCTTCAAGATACACAGTTGAGTGCAAAAACGGTGCCAAACAGAACACACGGTGCAATCCCACCACTGACCACAGGCAGTGCTTCGTACAAGCAGTGACGGAGGCCAGGGGTGGTGACTCGGGCCTGCCATCCCAGCACCTTGGAGGGCCACTGCAGGAGGACTGCTTGAGCCCAGGAGTTTGAGACCAACCTGGATAACACAGCAAGACCCCCATCTCTACAAAAAATAAAAAAATAAGCTGGGCATGGTGGCTCATGCCTATAATTCCAGCACGTTGGGAGGCTGAGGTGGGAGGATCACTTGAGCCCAGGAGTTTGAGACCAGCCTGGTAAACATGGCAAAACCCTGTCTCTACAAAAAAATACAAAGCTTAGCCAGGCACGGTGGCATGCACCTGTGGTCCCAGCTACTAGGGAGGCTGAAGTGGGAGAACCGCTTGAACCCAGGAGTTCAGGCTGCAGTGGGCTATGTTATTACCACTGCACACTGTACTCCAGCCTGAGTGACAGAGTGAGGCTCTGTCTCTTAAAAAAAAAAAAAAAAAAAAAAAAAAAAAAAAGATGGGTCGGGCGTGGTGGCTCGAACCTGTAATCCCAGCACTTTGGGAGGCCGAGGCGGGCAGATCACAAAGTCAGAAGTTCAAGACCAGACTGGCCAACATGGTGAAACCCTGTCTCTACTAAAAAATACACAAATTAGCTGGGCATGGTGGCTCGTGCCTGTAATCCCAGCTACTTGGAAGGCTGAGGCAGGAGAATTGCTTGAATGGGGCCCAGGAGGTGGGGGTTGCAGTGAGCCGAGATCGGGCCACTGCACTCCAGCCTGGGTGACAGAGTGAGACTCCATCTCAAAAAAAAAAAAAGTTAAGGCCCATGTCAAATTTATACTCCCTAAAAGCAACACTCTACTCTTTGTGGACCTCACAGCCAGTTACAAGCATATACATTTATTTATTTATTTTAAAGATGAGGTTTCACCATGATAGCCAGGCTGGTCTTGAACTCCTGACCTCAGATGATCCACCCACCTCGGCCTCCCAAAGTGCTAGGATTACAGGCGTGAGCCACTGCACCCGGCAGCATATACACTTTTTATAAAAAGATTCTTTTTCTTTTTTTTTTAGAGATGGGGTCTCGATATGTTGCCCAGGCTGGAGTGTAGTAGGTATTCACAGGCGCGATCCCACTGCTGATCAGCACGAGAGTTTTGACCTGCTCCGTTTCCAATCTGGGCTGGTTCACCCCTCCTTAGACAACCTGGTGGTCCCGATCCCGGGAGGACCATATTGATGCCGAACTTAGTGCAGACACTGATGGGCATAGCCACTACAGCCCAGAAATCCTGGGCTCGAGGGATCCTCCCACCTCAGCCTCAGCCTCCAGAGTAGCTGGGACTACAGGCATGCGCCACTGTGCCCATTGCATATACATTTTATACACATACACACTCACATTTATATGCTATAAGGCAGGGGTCCCTGAGACCCGACCAGTACCTACCAGGTACTGTACTGGTCTGTGGCCTGTTAGGAACTGGGCCACACAGCAGGAAGTGAGTGGCGGGCAGGGAAGAGAAGCTGCCCAGTATTTACAGCCGCTCCCCAATGCTCGCATTACTGCCTGAGCTCCGCCTCCTGCCATGTCAGCGTGGCATTAGATTCTCACAAGAGTGCGAACCCCATTGTGAATTGTGCATGTGAGGGATCTAGGTTGTGCGCCTACGAGAATCCAATGCCTGATGATCTGTCACTGTTTCCTGTCACCCCAGATGGGACCAACTAGTTGCAGAAAACAAGCTCAGGGCTCCCACTGATTCTACAGTATAGTGAGTTGTATAATTATGTCATTATATAACGTAGTAATAATAGAAACAAAGTGCACAATAAACGTAATACCCCATCCACAAACCTGTCAGTGGAAAACCTGTTTTCCATGAAACCGGTCCGTGGTGCCACAAAGGGTGAGGACCACCGGGATAAGGAACAGTGGATGAAAGCATGGACAACAGAGAGGCTAAATCTGAATCCCTGCTCCATCACTTCCTAGCTGTGCAACTTTGGCCAAGTTACTCAACCTTTCCGGGCCTCAGGTTTCCAATTCTGTAAAATGAGGATACTAACAACAGTACCTGCCTCATATGGTTGTTTTAGCATGTTGAGCATATGTGATGCTAACATGGCTGGGCGTGGTGGCTCACACCTGTAATCCCAGCACTTTGGGAGGCTGAGGAGGGTGGATCACCTGAGGTCAGGAGTTTGAGACCAGCTTGGCCAACATGGTGAAACCCCATCTCTACTAAAAATACAAAAATTAGCTAGGCATAGTGGCACATGCCTGTAATCCCAGCCACTCGGGAGGCTGAGGCAGGAGAAATGCTTGAACCCGGGAGGCGGAGGTTGCGGTGAGCAGAGATTGCGCCACTGCACTCCAGCCTGGGAGACTTAGTGAGACTCTATCAAAAAAAAGGAAAAAAAAAATAGTGCTGGGCCACACACGGCAGCTCATGCCTGTAATCCCAGCACTTTGGGAGGCCGAGGCGGGCAGATCACCTGAGGTCGGGAGACCAGCCTGACCAACATGGAGAAACCCTGTCTCTACTAAAAATACAAAATTAGCTGGGTGTGGTGGCACATGCCTGTAATCCCAGCTACTTAGGAGGCTGAGGCAAGAGAATGGCTTGAACCCAGGAGGCAGAGGTTGTGGTGAGCCAAGATCACACCATCGCACTCCAGCCTGGGCAACAAGAGCGAAACTTTGTCTCAAAAAAAAAAAAGGTGGTAACAACACAGCTGGCCCATAATAAGTGCCATCTGTTCATGCTGACTTTATTTACATACACATACCATACCATAAAAACTCCGTCTCTGCAAATTGGGTCCTACTATATAAATTGTTCTGCAACTTGCTTTTCCTGTGTCTTAGCATTCTTTCTAAGTGCCAGCATGTAGATCACCACAGTCTCTATAAAGATTATCAAGATAATATTTTAACTTGGGTTATTTCCAAATATTCCCCATTACAAACAGCTCTGCAATGGGCATCTTTATACATGAAGATTTTTGTAGCATGCCTAGATATGGAACTGCCGAGTTAAAGAAGAGTAATTTTTTTTTTTATTTTGAAAGATTCGGCTGAGTACGGTGGCTCATGCCTGTAATGCCAACACTCTGGGAGGCTGAAGCAGGCAGACTGCTTTGAGCTCAGGAGTTTGAGATCAGCCTAGGCAACATGGCGAAACCCTGTTTCTACAAAAAAATACAAAAATGAGGCTGGGTGTGGTGGCTCATGCCTGTGATCCCAGCTACTAAGGAGGCTGAGGCAGGAGAATCACTTGAACCCACAAGGTGGAGGCTGCAGTGAGCCGAGATCATGCTACTGAACTCCGGCATGGGCAAAAGAGCAAGACTCTGTATCAAATAGATAGAAAGATAGATAACACCAGGCACAGTGGCACATGCCTATAGTCCCAGCTACTCAAGTGGCTGAGGCAGGAGGAACATTTGAGCCCAGGAGTTTGAGTCCAGCGTGGGCAATGTAGTGAGACGCTGTCTTTTTTTTTTAAACAAAGGGCAGGGGCATAGCAAAGAGCCATTAAATATTGACAACAGATTTGCTCAGATCACGGTTGAAAGGACTTATTGTGTTATTATTTAGAAATGCACACTGGGTCCGGGTGTGGTGGCTCACGCCTGTAATCCCAGCACTTTGGGAGGCCGAGGTGGGTGGATCATGAGGTCAGGAGTTCAAGACCAGCCTGGTCAACATGGTGAAGCCCTATCTCTACAAAAAACACAAAAAATTAGCTGGGCATGCTGGCGTGCACCTGTAACCCCAGCTACTTGGGAGGCTGGGGCAGAAGAACTGCTTGAACCTGAGAGGCAGAGGTTATACTGAGCAGAGATTGTGCCACTGCACTCCAGCCTGGGCGACAGAGCAAGACTCCGTCTCAAAAAAAAAAAAAAGAGAAGCGCACACTGAAGTAGGCAGGGGTGAAATGCCGTGTCTGGGACTTGCTTTAGAATACTTCTGCAAAGGAAAGAAAAAAAAGAAAAGGGGTACATGAAGAAACTGGAAAAATCTTGATAACTATTCACTTTGGGTAATGGATGTTTTTGGGTGTCAATGAATTATTCTCTCTACTTTGAAAATGTTCATTAAAAAAAAAGGACAGGACTGCACCAAATTGTGACTGCATAGGGATGGGAGCCCAGTGCTGAGTATGTATCTGGAGAATGCGTGAGCAAGCTACACCGAGCAAGATGCCCTGGTCACCTCAGCTGACAGCCCTGACTGGTTAAGGGGCATCAGCAGGAGAAAGGGAGGCAATTCTAGGAGGGAGGAAAGGCACTGAGTCACTCCCTCTGCCCCTCACAGATGAGCTCCCACCAAGCCACCACACTCCTCTCTGCTAAGACCCCCACCCCAGCATCCAAAGGGCCCCGGTAGGAGGCACATACCCAGGATATGGGGCAGAGGGATTTGTATACACGCCGGTACCATTGGCACACAGACACATCCTCTCCTTTAGCATTCAGCGCCTTCTCACAGCGGTGGAAGTCTGCGAAGAAAGGGGGTCAAGTCAGCCCAGATCAAGCGCTGGAACACATTTCTTTTTTTTTTTTTTTTTTAAAGGAAGCGTCTTGCTCTGTCACCCAGGCTGGAGTGCAAAGGTGTGATCTTGACTCACTTCAACTTCTACCTCCTCCCAAGTTCAAGTGATTCTCCTGCCTTAGTCTCCCAAGTAGCTGGGGTTACAGGCACCTGCCACCATGCCCAGCTAATTTTTGTATTTTTAGTAGAGACAGGGTTTCGCCATGTTGGCCAGGCTGGTCTCAATCTGCCCACCTCGGCCTCCCAAAGTCCTGGGATTACAGGTGTGAGCTACTGTGCCAGCCATGGAACACATTTCTGATCAAAACTCAATGAGATATGCTTTTTTTTTTTTTTTTGAGACGGAGTTTCACTCTTGTTACCCAGGCTGGAGTGCAATGGTGCGATCTTGGCTCACTGCAACCTCTGCCTCCCAAGTTCAAGCAATTCTTCTGCCTCAGCCTCCCGAGTAGCTGGGACTACAGGCATGCGCCACTATGTCCAGCTAATTTTTTTGTATTTTCAGTAGAGACGGGGTTTCACCATGTTGACCAGGATGGTCTCGATCTCTTGACCTTGTGATCCACCTGCCTCAGCTTCCCAAAGTGCTGAGATTATAGGCGAGCCACCGCGCCCGGCTGAGAAATACTTTTTACTTCATGATCAGTTATGCAGACATAACACGCAGACAGGAAACATATTTTACAAGTGTAAGAACAAGGGCTAGATATCTTACTAAACTGATATTGCAACCCCCTCCAGAGAACTGCTGTTTATTTCTGGCACCAGGAATGATGGGGAAAGATGAGTGGCATGTGTGGGGATTGTGGAAATCCAGAAACAAGACAAGAGAAGTGGGGAAGATAATCTTGATGCCGGGATGCTGAGTCCTAAGAATGAAGGCAGAAAGGGAACCATCTGTTGTTTTTTTTTTTGAGACGGAGTTTTGCTCCTGTTGCCCAGGCTGGAGTGCAATGTCGCGATTTTGGCTCACTGCAACCTCCACCTCCCAGGTTCAAGCGATTCTCCTGCCTCAGCCTCCCAAGTAGCTGGGACTACAGGTGTCCACTCCACATCTGGCTGATTTCTCTTATATTTTTAGTAGAGACCGGGTTTCACCGCATTGGCCAGGTCTTGAACTCCTGACCTCCAGTGATCCGCCCGCCTTGGCCTCCCAAAGTGCTGGGATTACAGGCATGTGCCACTGCGCCAGGCCAATCATCTGGTAGACAATCTAGGCCGGGTGAGCTGGCTTATGCCTGTAATCCCAGCACTTTGGGAGGCTGAGGCAAGCAGATCACTGGAAGTCAGGAGTTTGAGACCACCCTGACCAATATGGAGAAACCCGCCTCTACTACAAAATACAAAATTAGCCAGGTGTGGTGGCACATGCCTATAATCCCAGCTACTTGGGAGGCTGAGGCAGGAGAATCGCTTGAACCCGGGAGGCGGAGGCTGCAGTGAGTTGAGATCGTGCCACTGCACTCCAGCCTCCAGCCTAGATGACAAGAACAAAGCTACATCAATAACATAACAACATAACACAAATAAAAGAAAGCATAAAATAAAGTAAAATAAAATAATAAACATGGTGGTAAAAAACAAAGATGTGAGGCCAGGTGTGGTGGCTCACACCTGTAATCCCAGCACTTTGGGAGGCCAAGACAGTGGATCACGAGGTCAGAAGTTCAAGACCAGCCTAGCCAAGATGGTAAAACCCCGTCTCTACTAAAAATATAAAAAATTAGCTGGGTGTGGTAGTGGGCGCCTGTAATCATTCCAGCTACTCGGGAGGCTGAGGCAGGAGAATCGCTTGAACTCAGGAGGCGGAGGTTGCAGTGGGCCGAGGTTGTGCCATTGCACTCCAGCCTGGGCAACAAGAGCAAAAAAATCTGTCTCAAAAAAACCAAAACAAAAACAAAGATGTGATCACCCCTACTTAGTAGAGTTGCTTCTCTATTGGGGAGTGCATGGTGTTGTGTTCCAGAGAGGGCATAAGGAAGGCAATGGAGAGCAGAGGAGAGTGTGGGTAATGTCTACTTTTCTACCCAGGTTATGGTTGCACAAGGGGTTCCCTCTGGAATAATTCAGCTGTACATGCTTTTTATGTACTTTCTGTACATGTTACATTACGCACACACATACACATTAAAAAAAAAATCACTGTAGGGGCCAGGCACAGTGGCTCACACTTGTAATCCCAACACTTTGGGAAGCTAAGGCAGGAAGATCGCTTGAAGCCAAGAGTTTGAGACCAGCCTGGGCAACAAAATGAGACCTCTTCTCTACAAAAAAAATTAGCCAAATGCAGTAGCGTGGGTCTGTGGTCCCAGCTACTTGAGAGGCTGAGGCAGGACAACCTCTTAAGCCCAGGAGACTGAGGCTGCAGTGAGCTATGATTGTGCCATTGCACTCCAGCCTAGGTGACAGAGTGAGATCCCATCTCTTGGGGGGGGGGACCATAAAAACAAAACCATAATAATAATAATAATAAAATAAAAATTAAAAAAAAATCATTGCAGGAACCAAAGTTTGTAACCCAAGCCTGGACCTGAACAGCAAGTGATAAGAAGCACGGGCCCTCCAGAGGAAGGATGTCCAGAAGAAAAGGGAGGAGGCTGGGGTGGATGGGTCCCCTAGGAAGAGGCAAGAGGTGAGTAACTAGAGGTGTGGGGCCAGGGAAAGGTTCTGCTTACCCAGGTAGTTCTGCCAGCAGTTCCTGGTCTGGTTCTGGTTGGGAAAGCGGCTGTCAAAAGGGGCAGTCTTGTAGTTCTTGAGTTTGGACTTCATCTCTTCCGCCATGGTGCTGAATCCTGGAGGTGAAAGGAGCGGGTGTTGGCAGGGGCCCCGAGCAAGCCAGACTGCCCAGGGTCAATGGAAGAGAGGAGGCACAGAAGAATGGTGGGGGGTGTGAACAAGTTCCTGCCTCTCAACATGCACTCAAAGATGAGGGGCAGGGCGCTCCACACATCTGAGTGTGGAAGTCACGGCAGCATTGGGGTGCAAATCCTCAGCAAAATCAAGCCTGGTTCCCAAATAACATGAGCTACCACTCACTGAATGCTTACTACATGCCAGGTGCTGTTGTACGCACTTGACTCCTACAGCCACTCTAAAAGGTAGGAACGTAGGAACTATTACTATCACCACTGCCCAGACGAGGAAGGAACAGGGTGCCTAAGTGACTTCCTAAGTTTATCTGGCATAAAAATAAATGGTGGGCTACCTCCATTGTTGGCATAATCTACACTGCAAAGGTTATTAATTTTTTTGGTGCCACAGACTCCTCAGTGGTCTGACAAATCCCATAAACCTCTCACTGAATATGTCTTTTCATTTTTTGAGACAGACCCTTGCTCTGTTGCCCAGGCTGGAGTGCAGTGGTGCGATCTAGGCTGACTGCAACCTTTGCCTCCCAGGTTCAAGCAATTCTGTTGCCTCAGCCTCCTGAATAGCTGAGATTACAGGTGCCTGCCACCACACCCAGCTAATTTTTTTGTATTCTGAGTAGAGACGAGGTTTCACTATGTTGGTCAGACTGGTCTCGAACTTCTGACCTCAGATGATCCACCCACCTTGGCCTCCCAAAGTGCTGGGATTACAGGCGCGAGCCACCAAACCTGGCCTGAATATGTTTAAATGTATTAAAACACTGCATAGGTTCCATGAATACATGAAGAAATAAAAAAAACCTGAAGAGTATCACAAAGAAAACCAGTTATATCCAGCTGAGGATTCATTAAGAAATACAATTTTGGCCAGGTGCAGTGGCTCACACGTATAATCCTAACACTTTGGGAGGCCAAGCCAGGTGGACCACCTAAGGTCAAGAGTTCAAGACCAGCCTGACCAACATGGTGAAATCCTTTCTCTACTAAAAATACAAAAATTAGCCAGGCATGGTGGTGGGTGCCTGTAATCCCAGCTATTTGGGAGGCTGAGGCAGGAAAATCCTTGAACCCAGGAGACGGAGGTTGCAGTGAGCGGAGATCACACCACTGCACTCCAGTCTGGGTGACAGAGCGAGACTCCCTGCAACCTCACTCAAGTAATGAGTGGATATAGTCTTTTGTGACATCTGCAGTTATAATGTGATATAAGAATATCTGTGATTTTGGGTGGGGCACTGTGGTTCACACCAGTAATCCCAGTACTTTGGGACGCTGAGGTAGGAGGGTCACTTGAGCACAGGCGTTCGAGACCAGCCTGGGAATGGTGAAACCCCATCTCTACAAAAAAATATTAAAATTAGCCAGGTGTGGTGGCGCATGCCTGTGGTCCCAGCTACTGAGGTAGGATCGTTTGCGCGGGGAAGCAGAGGTTATGGTGAGCCAAGATTTCTCCGCTGCATGACAGCCTGGGTACACAGAGACCACCTCAAAAAAGGAGAAAAACCTGTCTATGGTTTTGATTGCTAACAAAATCACAGCAGCTGCTAGTACTACCGAGGCTGTTGCCTCAAAAGGTTAGCACACAGATGTAATTCCACCCACTCACCCCAATTCAAACACTAGCATTCCTGGAATTCTCCCAGCTCTGCGGACCCAGGGTTAAAAATCTTTAATATAATGTCTGAAGAAGTGACACATAATGTTCGTCGGGAACCTGAGAGAAAGTGTCTATATTCGAGGGAATCCCTAGGAGTAGTGGGGCTATACAGAGACTTGTAGAGCAGTGTCAAATTCAAGCGATGCAAAGTGGTGGTGGGGGTCTGGAGCACTAAAACGGTCTTTCGGTGGGGAGGTGGGGTGTAAAACACCAGCCGCTGGGGCACAGATGCAGTCAGAACGATGGTTACCGGCGATATCTCGACCCGGTATCTGAGGATGAGGGTGCTTCGGAGGTGACGCTGCGGCCCCTCCCACGTCCAAAAGGGAGGATGGACAGGACACCAGGGAGCCAGGCTGCAGCCCAGGCAAGCCGCGGGAGGCCACGCCTGTGAATTAGCGATGAAGAGCCCTGGAGGACAAACTCCTGGCCCAAATCCTGGTCGCTGTGTAGGCTCAGCTAGGTCCCTTGGTATCTCCGAACCTGTTTACTGTCAAAAGGGGATGATCCCAGGCCTATCTCATAGAACTCTCTGGTGGGAGAGTTAAATGAATTAATTTAAGTTGTTTGGGATGTTGCCTCGCATCAAGGAAGAACTCCTGTTATATCTTTGTTAGCTCTTACGACGAACAGAACAACAGGGTCCCGGGGCCCAAGGAGGCTGGACGCCGCCAGCCGGAAGCCTCAACCCGTTCTCGGGGAAGCTGAGGTCCAGATTCTCAGCCCGTTAGGCTGGGGTTCCAGGTTCCAGAACCCTTCACACTCACCTAAAGGCACCCCCGATGCACCTTGCAGCTCAATGTGACCCTCTGCAAAGACTCGAGTCGGACAGGAACCGGAACTAAAGCTAGCCGGAAGCAGAGTGAGATGGGGTCTAGGGGAGTCTTCCGGGCGGATAGAGCTCCAGCCCAGGAGGCGGCCAACGTCGCCATTCAGGTCACGCCCAGCAAGAGAACTACGACTTTCTATTGGGCTGAATGCTTGTTTATCATCACTCCTGGCCCAATCGTGAGCTTGCGCGGCTGGGGCTCGGGCGCCTGTGGTTACCGGGTTTTGTCACCTCCGGGTCTTCGCTCGAAGAATGCGTTACAGATCCCAGGACTGGCTGGAGGGTCGGTGTGGGGAAAAATGTCTCAGCAAAAGTACTTTAATTCATGCAAGAAATATTTATTGAACGCTTTTTCTATGTCAGGTATTTCTTTTTAAAAAATTTCTTTTCTTTCTTTTTTTTTTATGGTGCCGTGACTCGGAATTCTTTTCTTTTAAAAAGTTTTTTATTGGCCGGGCGCGGTGGCTCAAGCCTGTAATCCCAGCACTTTGGGAGGCCGAGGCGGGTGGATCACGAGGTCAAGAGATCGAGACC